AGTTCATCCTGGAAAGGTCAAAGAATGCCTCAAGTCAGGCTCTGGATGAGTATTCTCACCTGTAGCAAGCTGTGCTGCTCAAAGGTTGTCTCTAGGTCTCAATGCTTCTGCACTCTGCCATTGGGATAGTCCAGAGCAGCCTCTAACTCACACATGGAATTGCTTGAATTAGTTCATCAGATGGACACGGTGTGGCTGGGGAGAAAACGCTTGGTGTCTGTAATCTCTTCCTGCTGCTCTGTTCTCGTCATTTGGGTTCAGATCACCCTGAAGCAGCACAGCTTCACCCGTTTCTTGTAGCACCCATGTGAGAACCACACTGAACTGTTCACGCTCCTTCGGACAACAGACCTGGCTGGCCACTAATTACCTTGGAGTCTTAAGTACTCTGACCAGCTTTCCAGTACAGACTGAGCAGTATTTAATGTGTACATAGCTAAAAAAAGCACACGAGTGATAAATCTCTGTTTTCTCCTATCAAGCTTGCAGCCCCTTTATTCAGACAGCCAGATGTTACGCCAGACCTGTGAGAAAAAGAAGGAAAGGTATGTCAAGATTAGAAGTTAGCCAAAATTCAGCAGCTCATAAATGTGTGGGAGATCAGTAATTGCCATTAGCAAGAGATCACTGGTCTCAGTGGACTGTATAACATGTTGTAAATCCAACATGCTGAAGGCAAGAGGCTGCACCCAATTTTATTCACTCAATTCCTTCCATCTCAGCTCGAACTCTTAAGTTCTTCCTCCTTATTTGGAGCATACAGTCTCTCTTGTTTGCAGCCTGTTTCCTCTGATCTAGTTTGCAAGTATGTTCAGAGCTCTGATTTTGTACTTCTCTTCCTCAAATGTTAATCTCTTCTTTGTAGACATCCCCAGCCATTTGGATGACCTTCCTCCCACGATGCTGAAGAAAGGTTATGTCAATGTCCCAGTAGTAAATAGGTATGATACAGGGAGAGGGAAGGACTGTTCTCCTCAGAGATTTGTATCTTACTCAGGCACAATCACACTGTGTGGAAGCTGTCACCTGCTTGGTAATTAATCAATGTTCTGTGGTCACTGCTTTGCAGTTTAGCACAGAAATTGCAGTCATTTTGAAAGTCGAATTTGCAAAAGCAGCCACTGATGAGGATTGTTTAAGGAGGTTGTTTTCTTAATGCAAGATTCAGTGCTGGTTGCCCACATCTTCTGTGGGCTTTGTAGTGCAGAAAAAAGAGAAATAATATTGAAACACTACAAATAATCATCTTAGAAGTAATCTGTGCCTGTCTTGAACTCAGGTGCTGGAGAGTGCGTAGTTAAACAACTCAAAAGGAGTGGCATCTGCTGAAATCTGGACGTGGAGTTGAGTGGGTTTAAACTTCGATTCCAGCTCTGCTCATGTGTGGTGCAGGGAGAGCCCCCAGTGGCGTTTCTGAGACTTTCACAGATCTTTGAAGGAGCTGGTCTTAAAATTATTTTGCCCTCATGTGCTTACTTGGGGTTGGTCTTCAGCACCCAGTTTGCACATCAGGTTTCTGGAATTGATAAGACTTCATCGTTATTTGAAATAACTGTGCTTCCCATAGCAGCAGAACTCCTCCATGTTCCATAATCCATGCTGTGATTTCCCTTAGGATGCAAGAACCAGTTTATACCTGACAGGCGTGGGAGGGGAGGAGAGCTGCTGTAGATTTGCAGAGTAAATTAAGGTTGAGAAAAGAGAATATGTTCTGAAAACCTAACCTCATTTCTGCAGTTAATTATACTTCCTTTCTAGCTTATAAACTAATCTGCAATCCTCTTGCAGTGTGGATGATGTAGTGAAAAGGCTGTTGTCACTGGAAATGGCAAGCCAGGTTAGTTCTATTCTACTTCCATCAAAAAATGTGGCAGATCTCATGAGCACATTTGTGTAAGACCTGTCTGTATTGTTAAATGCCCTTCACTTTAACTGTTGCTCAGTGACTGCAAATCTGGGGCTATTAAATATGTGAGAGTGGAAAGTCTTCTATGCTCCTAAAATTCATCATGCAATCTTTATGATGATAATTACATACTAAAATAAGAAGAAGCCACAGGGGAGACGAGCTGTGTTACTTGTTACTTGTGTTACTGCTGAGGCCTGTGCTCTAGAAACCAGGGCACTGGGCAGCTGATGTGCTTCAAACTGCTTTTACTTTTTGTATGCCCAGAAAACAAAGTAAGTGAATTGTAAGGCAGCACAAAGATCTTGCTGTTTCTTGCTGCTTAATACTTAAGCTTTAAAAAGATGCAAAAAGGAAAGGCTGCTGCTGTGTGAGCTCAGCCTCAGTTCTCTCCCACACTTGTGAGAGCAGCAGGGCCTCTTCAACACCCTCTTTCTGTAATCTTGGGGTGAAGGGTGTGCCTGGACTCTTGGTTTGAACAATGGCATCTGTGTGTTCTGCTGAGATCTTTTTGTGCTGCTTTGCTGCTGTACTCTGTCCTGCAAGCAGCAGGGCCCCTTTTTGCAGCACTATTTTCATGCTTTGTGATGGACACTGAGTAAGGCTATTAATTACAAAGCCTTTGTCTGGGTATTTGGGAAGAGAGCTGGGGTGTCTCAGACCTTTAGTGCTCCTGAGAAAGTGACATGCTCTCTGCTGTTATCCACAGAAGGAGAAGATGAAAGTAAAGATAGAGCAGCTGGTGGAGAAGGTCAGGAGGTCTCCCAATGACAATGGCTCTTTTGAGGTGCAAGGTAAGTTAAAAAAGTAGAAGGATATTGTTGGCAGATGGTACATCTCTGCTTTTATTCAGCCATTCCCACCCCAGCACTTCAAATTTCCTGTCAGAGAGGAGAATTTCCTTCAGGAGAGCACCTGCAGTATGTCCTGGAGGGGGTTCAGGGTTTGGGAACATTGTGGAAGCAGTGCATGCACTCGCTGGCGAATGTCTGCTAGGGCACCTTCCAGATTCCTACTCCGTATCCAACCCCCAGGGGTGGCATGTGCATCATCCTGCCTGGGGTGCTTATATGACATGAAGCATCGCACTGCGTTCATTACCAAATGACGTACTAGATACAGCTGGGGAACCCAAATTTCCCTCTGTATCAGAGAGCTGTGGCTGCCAGCACAGGGATGGAGGCCACACTGCCTTTGACCAAGATGTGCTCCTTATCATCCTTCAGCTCCTCAGGATGCTATCAGCATCTTTATCCAGTGCCTGAAATCACTAAGAGCTGGCTTCTGCTTTTAGAAAGAACCTTTAGTTTGTGTCTGTTCCTCCAAGCCAAGTGAAGTGAATGTAAAGTCACCAGTAATTGACTGCAAGAGGCATTTTACAGGTAAAGTCATATGAGCTGTCGTTAAACTTTTATCCTCTAATTAAGCAGCTTCATAATAGTAATAGTTCTGACTTGGGCTGTGTAGGTTGTACCTTGTGGTTTGTTTTGCTCTCATTTGGAGGGCTGTGTGGTGATACTTGCTGTGGTGCAGTGGGTCCTCAGCTGGTGATTTGGAGGGAATGCAGATGATCCTGTGTCACCCCAGAAAGCTGCTGCTGCTCTCACACGGCTTCTTACGTCTGTTCTTTACAGTTGCTAAATTGACTGCCAAGATACGCACTTACGAGGAGCATCTTCAGAAGCATCCCAAGGTAACTGTCAGAAGTCTGAGCCCACACATCTGAGACAGCAGCTGCTCAGGTTGTTTTCTCAGTTCAGGAACAAAAGGATTTGGGGATTTCCTAAGTCTGGGGATCAGATTTCCACAATCTGCGGATTGTGGCTTTCCTAAGAAGGTTTATAAAATGGTTAGAAGTGTTCCCTGGTGCCAGGCTGGGAAGCTGCTGGCTCAGTCGCAGCTACATTCTCACCAACTGGGATGCAGAGCCTGTTCTTTTTTGTTACTGGATTGGTGGAAACAGCTGAGCAGATACTATTGGATGGAGTTTAGCTAAATTTATCCTTGGTGCAGGTGTGGCTTCACTGCTTAGTTTTCAGTGTAATTAATGTTCCCACTTCAGCAGCTGTATTCTCTCTTAGTTCTGCCTATGAGAACGTTCAGCAG